TTAGTGATTCTTTGGTCTTCTCTCCTGTCAGCTGCCACCTTTTAGAATGTCAACCTAATAACTCCCCACCCCCAAATTCTAATCTGTTACCTAGGAAAAAGTGATGGCACCAGAAGAAAATAGATACTGAAACTTGTAAATGAGTAACCCTATTTTCAAATACAATTCTAAGTCAATAGGCCATGGAATAAAAATGGTCCCCATTCTTTTGCCAAGTAATGTGCATAAGATGTATGACAGCTACCTTTCTTGCTGCTTAGAGACCCTTCTCCACAAGTTTTGGTTTTGTTTCAGATGAAGGGAGTTATTGGAAATCTGACTGGAAATAAGGAAGTTAGTGTGCAGGATGTATCCCTAAGGCAAAAGCACTAAGGGTTTCAGATTTATAATGACTGTTCATGGAACAAAGGAACATATGTAACTGGCTCTCAAAAATATTTATTACATTAAAGTTGAAGCACAGAAAAACTAAGTGATTTCCTCAAGATGACTTAGCAAGAAAAAAGAAGCATCAGCCAGAATCAATTTCTTGTTGCCCAATACTCTTTTTTCTTATGGAATATTTTCCTTTTATACAGTATTGCTTTTTACATCATACAGTGATTGTAACGACCCACTATCACTGAAACCTTCACTTCGAGGTGCTGGTGCTGGTGATAGGTGCACTGAGGCACTGTGGCTCCCTTCTGCCCAACAGTACACATCTGCAAGGGGAACCAAACCAGCCAAGAGACCCAGTCAGGAATAAATAAGACCCAATCTTGTCCTCACGGAACTCATATTCTGGTGGAGTAATTAAGCAACTAATTACCCAAATAGGCTATGAAGGGGAAGTATAGCATATCTGGAGAATAAATTAGAGTTAGCTGATATAATCTAAGCAGTCAGGGTCTGTGAGGAAGTCCATCCATACTGCCAAAACTACCTGACTAATCTTAGCTAAGGTCTCTTCCCCATTTAATATAAACACCAGTTCCCCCCCGCCCCACTCACTCCACCCACACAGACTTTCTTCTTGTCTTCCTGCATCATGCCAAGCTTGTTCCCATCTTAAGGGCTTTGCCCTTGTTGCCTAAGCCTCAAACATTCTGTCTCCAGATCTAATAACTGGTTGCTTCAAATCATCTCAGCAGGTTTCCTCAGAAAAGCCATCTCTGTTCTAAACCAAAACAGACCCCACCACCCAATTTATTCTTTACCAAGTCACTGTTTTCTGACTTTCATGGCACTTTTTCTATTTTATTTTGGTGACCCTAAAAACTATAATGGTTTTTATGAATTTATTCATGACATCAGTCCCCTAGTCTTATTTCCCTCTTAAGATTTTAAGTCTCAACTAGGTTTAAGAATTTTCACAAACACAAGCCTTATGGTTGTAAGCACCCTCCACCAGCCCCCAATAATGTAAGCCCCTTGAAAGCAGTGATCTCAGTCTGTTTTGTTCTTGTGGTATCCCCAGTGCCTAAAATCTTGCCTGGCACATAGTAGCTCTTCAAACATTATTTGATAAACAAAAGAAATGAAAAAATAGAAGTGGAAGAATACCCAGGATTGTGCCAAGAACCATTTCGTGGCACCAGTCATTTTCTACCTCTAGATGAGAGTCCAATTTTGAGAAAGTATGCTATGTACAATCCTTCAAATTGTTTGAAAAGCCAGAGAGAGAGATGGAAGCGGAGTAAAACAGTTACATTTACATTAGGAACAACAAAGAGTTCAGAGATCATTTTTTCTGTGTACTTTTCCACTTTTTTCTTCCAAGTAGGCCTATTATATGTAATATAAAAATATCCAGACAGAAAAAAAGAAAACAAAATCATGTGGCAATCTTGCTACAACATTTTATTTATACTGCTATATATATTGATTTATGGTTATAAAAAATTCTCTACAAATTTGGTAGATAACCTCTCATTTTCTCTCTCTTGATTTCTTGGTCTTAGTAACTCCTCTGAAATTTTCCTTGTCACTTACCCAAGAAATTTTTTGGATGACTATATTCAGAGCATTTGACTAGATACTGAGGGATGTTAATATGTAACCATAAAACTGTTCCTACCCCCTACAATTTTATAGGATAGATAAAATGTATAATTGCTCACATAGGCAAGATCTAAACATCAAAAAGAATGATTCAAACAACAATGATATACATGAGCTGGGGAGACAGAAGAATTCAAAAAGTAGTTGATATTTGGGGTGGGTATTACAGGATTCTGGTAGATAGCATTAGGGATAGATAGCATTCCAAATGAGAGAAAACAGCAAGAATAAACATGAGGAGGCAGAAAGCCAACAGCTGCATTTGGAGCAGTGAAAATACACCAGATTTGCTAGAGCTGAATATAGGAACTAGTAAAAAGGCTAGAAAGGGGGTCTTAGATACGAGCTGAATGGTTTGTATTTTATCACAAAGTCAGTGAAGACGCTGTAGAAAAAACTGTTAAGTGACATGATCAAAGCAGTGGTTCTGAAAGATCAATCTGATGCTTTATGCAGAACAGACTGGAGAAAGAAAAAAGAGCACAGCTAGGGAAACCCATTAGAAGGCTGTGTTGGTACTCCATAAATTCATGAGTGCCTAAACTGAGGTGTGACCAGTATAAATCAAAAGTGAAAAGGGCAGGGCTCCCCTGGTGGCGCAGTGGTTGAGAGTCCGCCTGCCGATGCAGGGGACACGGGTTCGTGCCCCGGCCCGGGAAGATCCCACATGCTGTGGAGCGGCTGGGCCCGTGAGCCATGGCTGCTGAGCCTGCACGTCCGGAGTGTGTGCTCCGCAACGGAAGAGGCCACAACAGTGAGAGGCCCACGTACCACAAAAAAAAAAAAAAAAAAAGTGAAAAGGGCATATATGGAAGAGAAATAAGCAAAGACTGCACGGAGCTTGACAACAGATCGGATGTGAAGAAGAAAGGAAGACATAAAAAATAACTATTGACATTGGATAGAGGAATATGGAAAAACAGAAACAAAGAAGTCACAGGAGAAGCTAGTTTGGGGGAGAGAAGTATAGTTCAGTATTAGCCATGTTATTAAATTTGACGTGCTTGCAAAACAGGGCCAAAAATCCAAGTAAATGCAGAAATGGCTGACTTGAGCTTGGAATAGACCAGGATTGGACATGTTGACTGAGGAGTCATCTACAAAAGAAAAGACAGAAGTAATGGAAGTAGAGGAACTCTCCTGAAAGGGCTGTAGAGAGAGAATCATACTGTCACAGACTGACACCTACGGTAATGGTCATATTTTGGGGTTGGGAGAATGGGAAGCCAAAGAATAGAACAAATGACTATTAGAAAGTTCAAAGAATTCAGAGGAATATCAAGAAAAGACAGTTAGAAAGAGGCTGATTCACAGAGTAAAAGTGCCACAGAATATTTAAGGAGATATTCTATGTATTTGAAATTGCAGGCATAATAACTTTGTAGTTAAAGGGTTACAGTATATTGTAGGGCAAAGAATTATTATTCACCTTCTAAGTGAAGGTTTGTTACCTGCCTACTTCTTCAGTTTCATTTCTTTTCCTCCTTAGGCAGTGCTTACATTCTGAGTAGCTTAAAGGCCCATGCTCTTTCCTGACTCAAGATCTTTGCACAATAGTGTTCCTTACCTCAGCCAGGAATACTATTTCCCCCATTCTGTACAGCGTTAACACCTATTCATCCTCCCGATACTGTCACTTTCTCAAAGAGACTGTCCATTACTCCTCCTTTTCCCCAGTAAAAATCAGATTACGCTGTTAAATTCTCTTCCTTAGCTTTTCTTTGTGGCACTTATCAATCATAGAGCAACGTTTGTGTGACTACTTCATGGCTGTGTGCGCCATTAGATTGGCAAGCTCCAGGAGAGATGATTTGTCTGTTTTGCTCATCCCATCCCTAACTTCATGCCAAATACACAGTAGGTTTTCAACAAATATTTGCTAGACTTATGTTTCAGTAAGAACTACAAGCAAACAAGCTAAGCAGAAGAAAACAGCGTGTAACTGTCCAAATCAGCTGTAATAGTGGCCTGCTGATCTGCAGCCAGAACCGGCAATCTCCAAATTGAGTTATCAAACCAAACTACACAGTAAGCAAAAATGCACTGCTGCGGTAAAGATCGCTGATAATTTTTACAATAGGTTACCCATATTCGGTGTGTAAGTGCTGAAATTCTTAAGTACTTATTTTTTGCACAACACGTGGAAACGCTACATCGTGGCTGAAAATGGTTTGAGAAGCAAGTAGAAAATGGGTCTGGCTCTAGGACGTTAATAATTCCACACACTACTCTCTGCATTCGCCTCGCTGGTTTAGATGACGGCTCAGGACGGATCCGCACTGAAACGGGAGCTAATGCAAATTTCTTTTGTTCTCAGGAGATGAAGTGGAGGTTTGGGGGACGCTACCGTCGGAACTCTGGAGGCCCAAGCAGCTTACACTGATCTAAAACAAGGCTACCCGATGGGGAGCCAGCAACTCCGGGTGTGAAAGAGAGAAATGTTAAGACCGAGGGTCCGCACAGGTGCGAAGGCTTCTCCCTCGGGACTGGCAGTAGCGGTTCAGGAGGAGGCCGGGGCCCGACCGCTCGTACCTTGCTTGACTCGGGGATCCCTGGTGCTGCTAGTAGCGGCAGAGGGGGTTGGCCTGACCACAGGCTTCTTGTTTTGGGCCTCCCCGGCAGCTCCGGCCTCGGCGGATTTGGCTCTGGAAGCTGATACAGCGGCCCGGACCGCCGCGGCCCCCGGCGCCTTGTGTTTCTTGTTCTTGCCTCCCATGTTGCAGCTGCGGCAGAAGACTCCTCCCGGTCCAGGTCCCGGAACCACTCCCGCACCGCCTCCAGAAGCTCTTCACAATCCCCGAGTCCCACGCCGCCACCTTGCGTCCTCCATCCGGGCTTCTAGGCCCTGCTACAACCGCTGCTTCGCAATTGGTCCGACTCACCAAGGTCCCGCCTCCTCCCCGCCCACCTAGGCGTCTGCTGCGTGCTGGGAACCCTCGCCTCGCTCCCTCTTTAGCCAAGGAGCTACCTATCCGCCGGTGTTTAGGAGAGGAAAGGAAAGGTCGAAGGAGAAAAAGGAGGCAGGGAAAAAGTCTCCGGGGCTGCGTGACTCGACTAATTTTGTCTCCCACGGGCCCCTGTTGCGGCTTCGCTTGGCGTCACGGTCGGTGCGGTCGCGGAGCATCTTGGGTAGGAGGGAGATTCGGTCTCGCAGCTCCGAAAGATGGCGGACGCTTTTGGGGATGAGCTCTTCAGCGTGTTTGAGGACGACTCGACCACTGCGCCCGGAGCCAAAAAAGACAAGGAGAAGGGGAAATGGAAGGGGCCGCCAGGGTCTGCGGAAAAGGCCGGGTAAGGAAGATGTCCCGAAATGTCTTTTTTTCTTTCTCTCTCCTCAGTGTTGAGGGAAGAAAATCCCACTCTCTTCTGAAGACCACGAGAAGTAGGGTGTAAGTTAGTGGCGTTGGGAAGTGAAGGGGGTTGAGAAAAATGTTGAGGAGGGAGGAAGAACGTTGGTTTGGGGGAAGCTGGGTCTTGGCGTTCTCCAGTGGCCGCAGGCAGCGTGGACTTCTGACGCTTGCGTAAGGCCTGACTATTACCCCTGCCTGCGCCCTGGGGTCGTGAGGGTAGGTCAGGTGTCTCTTAGTTTCTGTACCCCCAGCTCCAGCACAATACTGGGCACAATACAGGAAACGAATCACCAGTTGAGTAAAGGGTTAAGAAGCTTAGAAAATGTGACTTGGATTGACGGGGAGGGGAAAGGGCAGATAGCAGGAGACGGGAAAGAGATTCAATCTCCAGGCTGCAGTTTTCTTGCCCATAATGAGGTGATAGCACCAACCACTAGGGTGTTTGTAAGGAGTAAACGAGATAGTATGTGTAAGCGCCTAAAAATGCTTAGCACATAATAGATTCTCAAATGCTGGCTTTCTTTGATTTTATTAAGAAAACTTAAAAAAATTACTGGTCCCTGAAACTTAAAGTAAGATGATTCATTAGTAATGAATAAAATTTACTCTTGACGTTGGGGGAGGATACCCAATGAATGCTTGAATTAAATTAGTCATGATTTTGCTCTCAAGGAACTTTTATTTGAGGTAAGGAGGTGGTACAGATACATATTTTAAAGAGTTAGTAGGAGCTTGAAATAGAATAAGCTGTATATACAGTTAAGTGCTATAGAAGTTCAGGAAAGAGAGCTATTTGTGATGTCTAGAGAGCCTTACATGCAAGAAGCTATTCTGTGTTGAGATGATTCCTTATTGACCGCTGAGAATTTTTTTGATTTGTTTTGTTTTGTAGCACAAATTGGGCTAGGCGGAGTGTTTGCTTAGGGACTACAAGAGATAAGCCTGAGAATATAAATTGGTTTTAGATTATGAAGGGCCTTGAATAGCAAGCGTATGAGTTTTGATTTCATTTTAAAAACCCAGGTGAACATGTGTTTTTTACCTAACTTGGTGACTGGATAGGTAGAGTGATAGTTTAGAAAAAGTAATTTGGTATCAGTAGTCAATGTATTGAAAGAGGAAAGACACTGATAGTAAAAAGTAGATTGAAAAGTATTTCAGTTATCTAATTATGAGATTATAAAAACCTCAACTCAGGAGGTGACAGAAGGAAGGAAAAGGAAAGATAAAATGTTTTGAAGGAAAAAATTGACAGGCCTTATTTAAGGAGGACAATGGAAGAGGGGTCAAAAGAGACGTTTTGAACTTGGATATCAGGAAGAAGAAAAATAGGGAAATTTATAGGAGATTTTGATTTCGAAATTAATTTGGCTTGAGACAAAGTGAAGTGATGGTAGTATATCCATATTGAAGTATCCATTGGGCAATTTTAATCTGGGTTTGGAGAAATACCAGAACTGTAGGTATATATTTGGATGCTATTTCAATTGGTCCTGCTTGAAGTGGAGATTCCTGTGGGAAAGTATAGTTTTCCCACACATAGAGATTAGATGGATATTAGAACAATCAGGAGTTTGAAATGTCACATAAGAGTGAAACAAAGGAGAAAAATAGTCTTCCTCTCTCATTGAGTTAGAGGGTGTAGTAGTCTTGGAGAACTTTTCAGGGAAAATGAGAAAGGAGGACAGGTTCTTTTAATTTTTTTCCAAACAGGAATAATTAATAATTTCTGTAGTTTGAATGGGCAACTATGATGTTATGAAGATGATACATGTATAATTTCCTACTGCGGTAAATACTTTGTTTCAGAATTACTCAGGGAAAATTCACTTTGCAGTGTATCAGGGGTAAGCTGTTTCTGCAACCTTCCAAAGTGAAAATTTGTAGGATATAAAAACAATTTATATTTTAATTTTACTAAGAAATATGTGAACATTAGAGAAAGGAAATACATAAGAAAATATAGACCATGATTAACTTACGGAACTTTGTTTACTACCAACACTTCTAACTAGGCCTAGACGTCTAGGTATTTTTAGGGAAAAATCCAATTTGCCTTATGGTAACTATCATACTATCATAATTATTTGTATCGTAGTCAATATGTATAGCATGATTTCCACCTGATTTGTATAACACAGAAGGGCAAATCCTGGAACTTCAGAGGATCTTGTCTTTTGTATTGATATTTAATACTCTAGACCAAGTGGGTGCTTTTTTAAAAAACTTTATGAGAATTGTCTGGAGAGAGAGAATAATATGAAAAACTCCATGTACGCATAACTCAGCTTCAGTATTATCAAGTCATGGTCAATTTATTCCCACACCCTTTTTTTGTAAATCAAATGCTACTAATCATGTTATTTCTCCCTAAATATTTCAGTATGCATCTCTTGTTGATAGTGACTTTCTTTTCCAACGTAACTGTCATGCCATTGTTATACCTAACAAAATGTACGATAATTCCTTGATATCATTGAATAGTCAATCCACAGTAAGATTCCCCAGTTGTCTCAAAGGTATTTTTTTGTAGTTGGTTTATTTGAATCAGGTTCCAGACAAAGCCCTTATACTGTTTTGGTTGTTATATCCCTGAAGTCTTTCATTTTACAACAGTCCCTTTTTTCCTTACGCTATTGATTTCTTTTGGAGGGGTGGATGAAAGGAGAAACCAGCTCATTTGTTCTGTATACTTTTCCACATCCTGAATTTGCTTTCTTATGCTGTCATTTTACTAGCTTTTTTATCTTCAAGTATTTACTGTAAACTGTCCTTATATCTAGAGCTGAACTATGCAATCTATAGTAGTCCCCCACCCTTATGTGAGGGGGATAGGTTCCAAGAGCCCCAGTGGTTGCCCGAAACCTTGGATAGTACCAAACCCTATATGTAGTATGATTTTCCCTATACATACATACCTACGAAAGAATAATTTATAAATTAGGCACAGTAAGAGATTAACAGTTACTGAAAATAAAATGAAATAATTATATCAATATATAAGTTGAGAACTTTTACCTTTTCATTTTTTTTTTAATTAATTTATTTATTTTTGGCTGTGTTGGGTCCTCGTTTCTGTGCAAGGGCTTTCTCCAGTTGCGAAAGCGGGGGCCACTCTTCATCACAGTGCGCGGGCCCCTCACTGTCATGGCCTCTCCCGTTGCAGAGCACAGGCTCCAGATGCTCAGGCTCAGTAGTTGTGGCTCACAGGCCTAGCTGCTCCGCGGCATGTGGGATCCCCCCCAGACCAGGGCTCGAACCCACGTCGCCTGCATTGGCAGGTAGACTCTCAACCACTGTGCCACCAGGGAAGCCCCACCTTTTCATTCAAAGTAAGCACTTGACGGCTTCTCTTTGGCGTTGCCAGCATCACTACTCTTGTGCTTCGGGGCCATTATTAAGTAAAACAAGAGTTACTTAAACACAAGCACTGCCATAGTACAACAGTGATCTGAAAACTTAGACAGCCACTAAGTGACTTAACAGGCTGGATACTGTTGGCAAAGGGATGATTCATGTCCCAGGCGGGATGGAGCAGGAATGTGCACGATTTCATCATGCTACTCAAAAAGGCATCCAGTTTAAAACTTATGAATTATTTACTTCTGGAATTTTCTGTTTAATATTTTTGGACCTCAGTTGACCTTGGGTAACTGACACCTTGGAAAGGGAAAACATAGATAAGGGGGCACTCCTGTAATAGCTACTACCTACCTGTAGCTGTTGAGCACTTAAATGTAGTTAATCAGAATTGACATGTTCTGTGAATGTAAAATATACACTGTATTTTGAAAACTTGTTATAAAAAATGTCAAATACATCATTTTTATCTTTATATACTGAAATTATAATATTTTGTATATTTTGGGTTAAATGAAATACATTAAAATTGGTTTCTTTTTTAAACTATTTTAATATGGTTACTAGAAATTTAAAGTTATATAGGTACTTGCATGTATATATCTTGGACAGCTGCTGATGTCGAGACTTGATTAGAATCATTCAATTGTTTAGATAAGAATACAGTTGAATAGAAAGTTGAATATAGTATTAAAGAATAATGGAACTCTTCTGAAGGAAAGTATTCTACAATGAATTTAGGTTTTAAGCTTCTCAAAGGTATAGCTGCTGTGGCCTCTCCCACTGCGGAGCACAGGCTCTGGACGCACAGGCTCAGCGGCCATGGCTCACGGGCCCAGCCGCTCCGCAGCATGTGGGATCTTCCTGGACCGTGGCAGGAACCCGTGTCCCATGCATCGGCAGGCAGACTCTCAACCACTGCGCCACCAAGGAAGCCCTGTTTCTTTGTTTTATAGTTGTACCAACTCCTAGTAGGTTTAATTACAATGCTTTGGTTGATGCTTACTAATTCAGAAAGAATAATAAAATGTTAGAACTAGAGGGATCATAATTATCATTCATGTCTTTTACTGAGGGCCAAGGATATTGATCGCTTGTCCAGAGGAGATTCATGTAAGTAATATGGAACAACTGTGAATACCTATTCCACTAAACGGGGCGTGAGAGGAATTACATATTTCAGATTTTGCCAAGCATCAAAGAATAAACTTCATTATGGAAATGTTATTCAAGCATATAGATCAGTACTACTATTTGTTGACTCTTTTTTTAAAAAATTTTTCTGTTGAAATAAAACATACAAAAAAAAAGTGCGAAAGTCATGGGACAAATTTTCATAGTGAACACACCAGTGTAAGCCCTGTTCAGGACAAAAAATAGAATATTGCAGAAATCCCTCTTTTTCCCGCAGTAAAGTGACTAACGCGATAATCACGTGTGTTAGTTTTTTTTCTGTTTGTAAATATAATGTAATTGGATTCATACAGAATATGTTCTTTTGTTTCTGGCTTTTGCTCAACATTGTAAAATTCTTTTTTTTTTTTTTTTTGCGGTACGCGGGCCTCTCACTGCTGCGGCCTCTCCTGTTGCGGAGCACAGGCTCCAGACGCGCAGGCTCAGCGGCCACAGCTCACGGACACAGCCGCTCCGCGGCATGCGGGATCCTCCCGGACCGGGGCACAAACCCGTGTCCCCTGCACCGGCAGGGGGATTCCCAACCACCGCGCCACCAGGGAAGTCCGTTTGTAAAATTCTTAACTGTAGCTCTGGCAGTAACTTTCGAAGTATGACTGAGGTTTGGTGTGGGATCAGAGGAATATTCCCAATTACCTGAAAAGCCTGCTCTTTTTCAACTATAGGAGACTGAATTTTTCTTCACATAGTTCAGCCAAAAACTGTATCACAAGTTCAATGTAGAGACAGATGAGAGTCCAGCTGCCTTCTATTAAGCCAGACATTAAAGAGACTTGCAAAAATATAAAACAATGCCATTCTTCTCATTAACATTTTTTTGGGAAAATACTAATTTTTTCAGTTTTAATATTTAATGTGGTAAACATCAATAGATAAGACTACAGAAACAAAATTCATTGGAATCCTCAGTAACTTTTAGACTGGAAAATCAAAATCAAAATCTCTCATTTCTGAGATCAATGATTTTGGAGCCACTGATCTAATATAGTTTAATTTCCATTTTCCTGGTAATTAATGGTTCTTGAGCTCCTTTTCGTATGCTTATTGGTCATTTGGATATCCTCTTTCGTGAAGTGCCTGTTCTAGTCTTTTGCTCATTTTTTTATTTGGTTATCTTTTTTTTTTTAATTTGTAGCTGTCACTTCCATTATTTTAGATACATACGCCTTTTGTCAGTTATATTTGTGTTTTCTCCCACTTTGTCTTTTCTCTGTACTCTCTTAATGGTACCTTTTGATTTACAGAAACTCTTAGTTTCAATGCAGTCCAATTTAGCAAACTTACTTTTTGGTTAACAATTTTATGTCCTGTTTAGTAATACCTAAAGATAATTTTCTCATTTTATCTTCTAGAGGCTTTGTTGTTTTTGCTTTTCACTATTAGATCTAATATCCATATTGATTTTTGTGTATAATTGGCATAGGGGTCAGATTGATTTCCCCTATGGTTATCCAATCCACAAAGCACTGTTTATTGTCACTACTTTTGACCAGTGAATCCAACCACATAAAAAAAATTTCTCCCAAATAGTAATATTATGCCGTTTAGAAAAGCATTAAATGTTTATTGAAAGTGTTCATGTAAATGTCTAATGGTATTTTACAGTTTCTAAGAATATTATATTAGTAATAGTTGTGTTAATGTGAGTTGCAAAGTATTTTTAGAACAGAATTTTGAAGAAACTATGAAATGAAAGAGGAGTAGTATTCAGTTTCATTAGTTAAAATAAGAATATTCTGGGCTTTAGCCACTTTTGATTTGTAACATCTATTTACATGACTTTTTGTTAATAGTGTATATTATACATGGGATCATATTTTATGGAGTCACCCTTAAAGTAAGAAGTGCTATTGCAGAATTCATTCTAAACCGTTCACATTTCAGAAAACGTTTTGATGGTAAATTACAATCTGAGTCAACTAATATTGGAAAAAACAAGAGAGATGCAGACTTCGAGGGCACAGATGAACCCATTTTTGGAAAGAAGCCCAGGGTAGAAGAGTCAATAACTGAAGACTTAAGGTAGTATTTCCATTGTTATAAATGTTAGTAACTCTTAAGTTGGGTGGTTGCCTGAAGTTTTGAAAATTGTTTATATGTTGTTACTTTATGAAAATATTTGTTGTATTAGAGAAATGAAAATAAATATTCTTTATATGTTCATATAAACATATAACTGTAGGACAATTATGTAAGTTTGGGGAAATGGAAAACAATATAGAAAAGAAAGGCTTGTAATACTTTTGAATCCAATTTTAAGAAAGAATCTTGAAGCCTGATTTTTTTAAAAAGAAGAAATGCCATTTCATTTATTTGTTAATGTCTTAAAAGAGGATCACTGGAAGAGTGGGATAAAAGGAAAGAATAAAACTGACACAATGGAAGGGAATACTTGAGAAGGAGCATTAGGAGGAATTAGATTTTCACTGTTGCATGTAGCAGTAGAGTGGCTATGAATCTCAATACTACTATCAATGAGGGAGACCCATGGATATGTGTGGCTGAAATAGCTGGGTGTTTCTTTGAGTTCAAAAGTTGGAACTTTCTAGAAATTGATTACAGTTTCTTAGGTTGACCTGTTTCCTTTCGTAGCGATGATCATGACTTTGCTTTTCTCATTTGCGATATTCTAGCTTGGCACTACAATGAAGAATTTACTCCTGTGGTTTTGTTGTTGTTGTTTTTTAACCGGTTAGCTGTTGTTGTAGCTAGCAAAAGTAGGTACTGTAAATGGTGGTAGATGTATTACTGAAATACTTAAGATGCACTGTTTGTCCAAACTAGTGGAATAGGTTACAAAATAATACTGATAATTTAAAATCATTGTTGCTTATTGTAGTAACTCTTGGGTTTTATCCAAAGTATGGTTATTGATTTAAAGTAAAAAATCAGAAGTACAATCAATAATAATGGATCTAGTGCAGAAATACATCTATTTTTCTTCAATTTATCCACAATCATGTCGTTTCAGAGTCTAAACAGAGAACCTAGATGAGTATAACTTAGGATTTTGATGAGAAGAGGGAACACTTCTATAAATTATAGCAACATCTGTATTAGGCTAGTTTATTTTATACTTCCTATGACGTAATGGTTTTTTTGGGTTCTTTTTTGCGGTATGCGGGCCTCTCCTGTTGCGGAGCACAGGCTCTGCACACACTGGCTCATGGGCCTAGCCTCTCCGCGGCATGTGGGATCTTCCCGGACCGGGACACGAACCCGTGTCCCCTGCATCGGCAGGTGGACTCTCAACCACTGCGCCACCAGGGAAGCCCCGTAATGGTTTTTATAAGCAGCTTTGTGTTTTGAAGCAGTGATAATGCTTTTGTAGAGGTACTTTTTATCCAAAATAGTTACTGGAACTAAGCTGACATAATTCTTTGAATAATCCACTTGGAGTCTGTCTGTTTTGTATTTGTAATAAAAGATGCTAACTCACCATTTTGAATTCCTAACATATATAATTCTCAGTAATTTATTTTAATGTAATTTTAACAATTTTTTTTTTTAAGTTTGTCAGACTTGATGCCCAGGGTCAAGGTACAATCAGTTGAAACTGTCGAAGGGTGTACACATGAGGTAAGCACAAACAGTGTATGGTAAGTTGGTGTTATAAGTGGGATTTTGCTTTGGACTATCTAATCTGATGATTGACAAGCAGTTTAGCCTTAAGGGCTTTGGAAACAATATGTAGTTTCTGTGCAGTCAGTGTACATAGTCTAGTGGAAGGAGCTGGGGGTTTGTATTCAAACCTGAGCTTAGACACTGACACAGTGCTTTTCCAAACTACAGTCTTGGATAAATTTCTTAACCTCTTTGACATTGGTTTTCTAATTTGTAAGTTTAGAATAATGGGATTTACATCATGGGGTGGTTGTGAAGATTATGTAAGAAAATTAGGTGAGATAGCCAGCACAGAGTAGGGTTTTTTTGTTTGTTTTTTTGTTTTGTTTTGCTGAGTAGGAATTTAGTACATGTTTATTCCCATGCTCCTAAAGTCAAGTAACAGTGACATTTTGCAGGTCCCGTGCTTTTTTGTGTTTTGCTCTGATGACTGATATATTGCAGTTTCATTGTTTGCCACAAGATGGTGGTCACTGATAGCTTGTAGTAACCGTTGATCAGTGAGCATTTGTAAACATGGGACATAAGGAAACTGTAACACTAGTTGAAACTGTAACACTAGTTCTTTCTATTAAGCCCTTCTGCTTTTACCATGTAACCTTATATGTTATTGCTACAGTTAATTGAGGAATCTTATTAAAGACTTTATCAAATAAGCAGAGTAATTCCAAATTAACAAAAATTGCTTTTGATGTAGATCTGGAACGTTACTTTTTTAAACACCTGTTTTTCTACTTGAAATTTCCTTATGTTCCTTTAGGATATCACTTAGTTTGGCAGGTATAATATCCATTAGATCATTCATTAAACACTTACATTAGACCCTATTTGATGCTGTGGTCTTAAAAAGATGGGAGAAAAACCTCAAACACACACAAATTTTGCTCTCAAGAGGTCAGAAGTTCTTTCTGTCCTCCTTCATGATTATCCTCAAGCCCTCCATTCTGTTATCTCCTCTCACTTTTTTAGCAGGTAACCTTACCTTTTACTTTATCTAGAGGTTTGAAGATATCAAGTTGGAGTCACATCCACTCAAAGGACAAGGCACTGCATTGTTTAGGCTGAGGAGAGTTGCTCTGCCAGTGTTCTTGGTTGTATCCTATCCTGCCTCCACAAAGACTTGGATCATTCCATTTTCCCTTGACTGTTTCTGGTGTCTCCTTTTCTCTATTTTCCTTTTCTTATCAGCATATGAATATTCAAAAGCTTCTCTTTTGTTCTGTGTTGCTTTTTAGCCACTGTGTTGTGTTTCTTCTTCCCCATTGTAGTCATTCATTCAGTACATATCTTTTGGGTGCCAGGTATATTTTATTATTCACTGAATATAAAGAGATAAACAAAAAAAGTTATGGTCCCTTTCTTTTCAGAGTTGTTATTGAGTGCTCTGCTTAGAAAATTCCTGCTAAGTGCTCGCTTCGGCAGCACATATACTACAATTGGAACGATACAGAGAAGATTAGCATGGCCTCTGCGCAAGGATGACACACAAATTCGTGAAGTGTTCCATATTTAAAAAAAAAAATAAAAAGAAAATCCCTGCTAAACTTCCTAACCTTCCAGTCATCTTTTAATCTACTATAGTTAGATTTCTTCTTTCTTCATGTCTTTCAAACTGCTCTGGCAAAAATCACGAATAACTAATTGCTAAGTCTATTTGACTCTTGATTATTCTGTTGTTTTTCATTTTTCTGACTCCTTAGTCTCTGTAGGCTTCTCTTCTACCTGTCTGTTATAAGTTAGTGTTACCCAGACTGTTTTCAGAGAATAAAAACAAAACTCTGATTCTCATACATGTGAAAACACAATTTGTTATTGTTGCTGCTATTAAATCTCAGAAATGTTAAAGTCTTAATTGCTTTGTGTTAATGTTTTTTGTTCATGTCATAGCAAGTGTCAGGAGAGATGTGAGGGAGGTGAACCAAGTAACCAGGTATGGCCCCGCAGGTTGATCATACCTTGATGAGGATCACACCATGATTTAGGGTCTAGTCTTCAGATTTTCGGATTCTGAAATTTGATTTTGTCAGTGCACCAGAGGTTGTGCTCTTTGGATAGAATCACTTTCATCATAGTCATGGTATGGTATAACAAAAGAGGGACATTCCCTTAAATTAATGGATAAGTAGTCCTCTTATTGTCAAACTACCTAGGAGTCAGAAACTACTTAGAAGTTTCTTGGTGTCATAATAAAGGGGAATATGTAGTCTTAAGGGGAAGACTGATGAAAACTATTCCTGTCCCTGGAAGGGTTCACTCACTAATAAAAACAACTCATAAATTAATTCTTTCATAATGTGTGCTGGATAAACTACCAAATTCTATCCCTTTATAGATTCCATTTAGAGTTCCACATTGCTTGTAACACAGTTATTATATTGGGTATTGTTCATTGAGTTTCATAATTTATCGTTTCACTTAATTACAGTCAGGTTCTAGTTATTCCTTTTGAAACACTACACACATCATCTTGATTGTAATTGAATTGCATATTTACCAACAATCTCTCAATATTCTAAGACAGCTAATCTTATCTCATACTTGTTTGTTGAAATTTTGCTCTTAGAAATTATTTCTAACTTCTGTGTGTACAGTACTTTGCCCTTGTTGATTGATTATTTATTTATTATTTATTATTATTTATGTAAGCCACTAATTGGCTTACATATTGGGAATTTACATATATTGTGAACTGCTCTCCAGATCTTAATCTTCACTGGAGGAAAATTAGTTTCCTGTTCCAGGAAATAATACCATTTTATTCCACATAGTTTTCTTTCATATAGTGGCATCCCTTTTTATGTCCATTCTGCTTTTTTGAGCATTCATTAATGTCAGGAAGTACATTAGATATAGAAAATACAAAGATAGCTGAGATAGGTCCTAGACCTTAATAAACAGTTTCTTCTGGGAGATAGACTTAAGTGCTTTTAATTAGATTACTATCAGATAAACACTAATAGAAGTTTTTTGAATGTTGTAGCTTTTGCATTTTTCTCAAAGGTGGTTATTTAATTTTACAGTGTCTAAGATTGTCAGAAACACTAGTTCACCACCTTTATTTTTCAAACCATCATTGATTAGGGAGTGCTGAATGCATCAATTCTCGAATAGTAAATTGATTTTTTTTTTTAACATCAGGTTGCACTTCCTGCAGATGAAGATTATCTACCACTTAAACCTCGCGTTGGAAAAGCTGCAAAGGTTTGTACTTTGGGCCGTACGGTTTGTACAGTTTTGTGAGTCTGTTTTCCTAAAAATCTTCAAGATAAACTTTTAAATGAGATCCTCATACTTCCCAGTGTGTGTGTGTGTGTGTGTATACACACACACACACACACACACACATATATGTACAAATTAAGAAGCCGCCACCTGAAGTCAAATATGGTGAGAACCAAATCAATAAACAACCATGCTGAAAACCAAGTATCATGTGATAAGATTTTTAAAAATGAAAATAATTCTCAACGTTTTTAATGAATCTAATGAAAAGTACTGATCTTTCTCTAGAAAAAAATGCATGTGTACAATCAGTTTTGTGTATAGTTTTGGGAGTTGAACAAACTTCTAATGAGACTTAAACTCTTATGCTGATATTAAATGGATTTTGAAACCCTGATAGATGGTAAAAGAGTAATATAAATTTTCCAAGTCATTTTCTTAAGTAAAAAAGGCAGTATGGTGGGGTAAACATGAACTCTTCAAGTCTAATAGATATATTATTCTGCCTTTGCTGAGTGAACTTGATTGAGGCCTTGCCTTTTCAGAGCCTCAGAGTTCCCATCTGTGAAAGGAAATTATATATACGTTAGGGGTTGCTGTGAAGATTAGTAGGTGGAAAATGTGTTGCCCAGTGCCCACCATAAAGCATGTTCTTGACAAATGGTAATGATTATTGTGTTGTAATTAACATATATAAACATAATAATTGAAAGATCAGACAGTAGAAATAACTTCTATGCTGTCTGGTTAAAGTTTTTTTTTTCATTCTTCCTAATTTTCTCTGGTGGGTGGCATATTTCCCAAATAGACTCATAAAGAAATGCTCCCAGAATGCTTCTAGGGGTAGTGTCTCTTGGTTTTAAGTGTACTATAATGTGTCTAGGTGTCTTCATACAGATACTAATTTTTTTTATAGGAATACCCGTTCATTCTTGATGCTTTTCAAAGAGAAGCCATTCAGTGTGTTGATAATAATCAGTCTGTTCTAGTATCTGCACATACATCAGCAGGAAAAACTGTATGCGCTGAGTGAGTAGCTTTCTTTTTAAATGGAATTTTAGGACTGTTAATATTTGCTTTATACATTTAGGTGCTCCTGTGTTGGGTGCACCTAATATAATATTTATAATATATTTACAAATATTATATCCTCCTGTTGGACTCACCCCTTTATCATTATGTAATGCCTTTGTCTCTTGTTACAACCTTAGTTTTATTTTTATTTATTTATTTATTTTTATAAATTTATTTATTTATTTTTGGCTGCATTGGGTCTTGGTTGCTGCACGTGGGCTTTCTCTAGTTGCTGCAAGTGGGGGCTCCTCTTACTTGCGGTGCACGGGCTTCTCATTGTGGTGGCTTCTCTTGTTGCAGAGCACAGTCTCTAGGTGCCCGGGCTGCAGTAGTTGTGGCTCATCGGCTCTAGAGCGCAGACTCAGTAGTTGTGGCGCCTGGGCTTAGTTGCTCCGCGGCATGTGGAATCTTCCCAGATCAGGGCTCAAACCCGTGTCTGCTGCCCTGGCAGACGGATTCTTAACCACTGGACCACCAAGGAGGTCCTTACAGTCTTAGTTTTAAAGTCTATTTTATTTTACATAAGTGTAGCTACCACAACTTTCTTTTGGTTTCCACTTGCATGGCGTATCTTTTTCCATCCCTTCACTTTCAGTCTGTGTGTCCTTATATCTGAAGTGAGTCTCCTGTAGGCAGCATATAGCTAGCTGCAAGTTGTTTTTTTATCCATTCAGCCACTCTGTCTTTTAATTGGAGAATTCGTCTATTTACATTTTATTATTGATAGGTGTGTACTTACTGCCATTTTGTTAATTGTTTTCTGGCTATTTTGTAGTTTGTCTCTGTTCCTTTCTTTCTTCTCTTGCTCACATTCTAGTTTTAAAATGAAATTTTAAAGTAACTGTTTCTTACCATACTCTTTAAAAGTTTAAATTTTTTCTATTTCATTTCTGTAAGTAAATTTAGACTCTTACCTTTATTTCATTTCTTCTACTTACTTTGGGCTTCATTTGCTCTTTTTCTAGTTTTTCAAAGGAGGAAAGGTGAGGTCATTGATTTCAGACCTTTTTCTAATACAGACATTTAGTGCTGTAAATTTCCTTTCAGTCATGAATGTGTATCGTGATTCACTAATGCTATGTTCATTTTCAGTGCATTTCATTTCAGGTCTTTTCTAATGCTCTACCTTCAGATTCATTAATCATTGCTTCTTATTATCTAATCTGTCCTTAATGCTATTCAGTGCATTTTTTCATCTCAGATATTATAGTTTTCTTTGCTAGAAGTTCATTTTTGTGTGTTTGTTTTCCATGTGTCTACTTAACTTTCCTCCAGCTTTTTGAGCATACAGAATACAGTTTAAAAACTGTTTAAATGTTTTTGTGACTATTACTTTCATTTCTGTTACTCCCTGATCTGTTTCAGTTAATTAACTTTTCCCTTCGTTATAGGTCAGTATTTTCCTGCTGCTTTGCATACGGCTCTGATGGGATGTTTGGCTGTTTTTTAATTTCATCACTGACTTTTGGCAGTTTAATTATGATGTGACTTTACATAATTATTTTCATGTTTCTTATGCTTGAATTTATTGGGCTTCTCAAATCATGGGTTTATTAGTTTTCATCAGATTTGGAAAAATTTCAGCCATTTTTTATGTCAAATAGTCCCTCTTCTCCTAGTACTCTGAGGACTTCGGTTAAACTTATATCAGGAGACTTTAAGTTGTCTCAGAGCCTAGTGATACTCTTATTTATTATTGTTTTTTGGTGTTTATTCTCTGTGTTTCATTTTGGACAGCTTCTCTTAAATGGCTTTAAGTTTATTCATCTTTTTTCCTGCAATGTCAAATATGCTATTAATCCTACCCAGTTTATTTCATCTTAGATTTTTTTATCGCTGAAAGTTTGGTTTGGGTCTTTTAATATTTTCCATATTTCTTCCAAACATGCTGGGTTTTTTGGTTTGTTTTTTTACATCTTTTTTTTTTTAACATCTTTATTGGTGTATAATTGCTTTACAATGGTGTGTTAGTTTCTGCTTTATAACAAAGTGAATCAGTTATACATATGTTCCCATATCTCTTCCCTCTTGTGTCTCCCTCCCTCCCACCCTCCCTATCCCACCCCTCCAGGTGGTCACAAAGCACCGAACTGATCTCCCTGTGCTATGCGGCTGCTTCCCACTAGCTATCTGCCTTACGTTTGGTAGTGTATATATGTCCGTGCCTCTCTCTCGCTTTGTCACAGCTCACCCTTCCCCCTCCCCATATCCTCAAGTCCGTTCTCTAGTAGGTCTGTGTCTTTATTCCTGTCTTACTCCTAGGTTCTTCATGACATTTTTTTTTTCTTAAATTCCATATGTATGTGTTAGCATACAGTATTTGTCTTTCTCTTTCTGATTTACTTCACTCTGTATGACAGACTCTAGGTCTATCCACCTCACTACAAATAGCTCAATTTCGTTTTTTTTTATGGCTGAGTAATATTCCATTGTATATATGAGCGACATCTTCTTTATCCATTCATCCAATGATGGGCACTTAGGTTGTTTCCATCTCCGGGCTGTTGTAAATACAGCTGCAATGAACATTTTGGTACGTGACTCTTTTTGAATTACGGTTTTCTCAGGGTATATGCCCAGTAGTGGGATTGCTGGGTCATATGGTAGTTCTATTTGTAGTTTTTTAAGGAACCTCCATACTGTTCTCCATAGTGGCTGTACCAATTCCCATTCCCACCAGCAGTGCAACAGTGTTCCCTTCTCTCCACACCCTCTCCAGCATTTATTGTTTCTAGAGTGTTTGGTGATGGCCATTCTGACTGGTGTGAGATGGTGTCTCATTCAAGTTTTGATTTGCATTTCTCTAATGATTAATGACATTGAGCATTCTTTCGTGTGTTTGTTGGCAGTCTGTATATCTTCTTTGGAGAAATGTATTTAGGTCTTCTGCCCATTTTTGGATTGGGTTATTTGTTTGTTTTTTTTTGTTATGGAGCTGCATGAGCTGCTTGTAAATTTTGGAGATGAATCCTTTGTCAGTTACTTCATTTGCAAATATTTTCTCCCATTCTGACGGTTGGCTTTTCGTCTTGTTTATGTTTTCCTTTGCTGTGCAAAAGCTTTGCAGTTTCATTAGATCCCATTTGTTTATTTTTGTTTTTATTTCCATTTCTCTAGGAGGTGGGTCAAAAAGGATCTTGCTGTGATTTATGTCATAGAGTGTTCTGCCTATGTTTTCCTCTAAGAGTTTGACAGTTTCTGGCCTTAAATAGGTCTTTAATCCATTTTGAGCTTATTTTTGCGTATGGTGTTAGGGAGTGATGTAACCTCATACTTTTGCACGTACCTGTCCAGTTTTCCCAGCACCACTTATTGAAGAGGCTGTCCTTTCTCCACTGTACATTCCTGCCTCCTTTATCAAACATAAGGTGACCATATGTGCAGGGGTTTATTTCTGGGCTTTCTATCCTGTTCCATTGATCTATATTTCTGTTTTTGTGCCAGTACCATACTGTCTTGATTACTGTAGCTTTGTAGTATAGTGTGAAGTCAGGGAGCCTGATTCTTCCAGCACCGTTGTTCGTTCTCAAGATTGCTTTGGCTATTTGGGGTCTTTTGTGTTTCCAAACAAATTGTGAAATTTTTTGTTCTAGTTCTGTGAAAAATGCCAGTGGTAGTTTGATAGGGATTGCATTGAATATGTAGCTTGATTTGGGTAGTAGAATCATTTTCACAATGTTGATTCTTCCAATCCAAGAACATGGTATACCTCTCCATCTCTTTGTATCATCCTTAATTTCTTTCATCAGTGTCTTATAATTTTCTTCATACAGGTCTTTTGTCTCCTTGGGTAGGTTTATTCCTAGATGTTTGATTCTTGTTGCAATGGTAAATGGGAGTGTTTTCTTGATTTCACTTTCAGATTTTTCATCATTAGTGTGTAGGAATGCCAGAGATTTCTGTGCATTGATTTTGTATCCTGCTACTTTACCAAATTCATTGATTAGCTCTAGTAGTTTTCTGGTAGCATCTTTAGGATTCTCTGTGTATAGTATCATATCATCTGCAAACAGTGACATCTTTACTTCTTTTTTCCGATTTGGATTCCTTTTATTTCCTTTTCCTCTCTGATTGCTGTGGCTAAAACTTCCAAAACCGTGTTGAATAAGAGTGGTGAGAGTGGGCAACCTTGTCTTGTTCCTGATCTTAGTGGAAATGCTTTCAGTTTTTCACCATTGAGGACGATGTAGGCTGTGGGTTTGTCATATATGGCCTTTATTATGTTGAGGAAAGTTCCCTCTATGCCTACTTTCTGCAGGGTTTTTATCATAAATCGGTGTTGAATTTTGTCGAAAGCTTTCTCTGCATCTGTTGAGATGATGATATGGTTTTTCTCCTTCTGTTTCTTAGTATGGTTTATCACATTCATTGATTTGCATATATTGAAGAATCCTTGCATTCCTGGAAAAAATCCCACTTGATCATGGTGTATGATCCTTTTAATGTGCTGTTGGATTCTGTTTGCTAGTATTTTGCTGGGGAGTTTTGCATCTGTGTTCATCAGTGATATTGGCCTGTAGTTTTCTTTCTTTGTGACATCCTTGTCTGGTTTTGGTATCAAGGTGATGGTGGCCTCGTAGAATGAATTTGGGAGTGTTCGTCCCTCTGCTATATTTTGGAAGAGTTTGAGAAGGATAGGTGTTAGCTCTTCTCTAAATGTTTGATAGAATTCGCCTGTGAAGCCATCTGGTCCTGGGCTTTTGTTTGTTGGAAGATTTTTAATCACAGTTTCAATTTCAGTGCTTGTGATTGGTCTGTTCATATTTTCTATTTCTTCCTGATTCAGTCTTGGCAGGTTGTGCATTTCTAACAATTTGTCCAATTCTTCCAGGTTGTCCATTTTATTGGCATAGAGTTGCTTGTAGTAATCTCTCATGATCTTTTGTGTTTCTGCAGTGTCAGTTGTTACTTCTCCTTTTTCATTTCTAATTCTATTGATTTGAGTCTTCTCCCTT